CCCTCGGGAATTCAGCTCCCCGGGAGCGGAACGGGGATCCCGGGACGGGGCTGGGATCCCGGGAGCTGAGCTGGGATCCCCCGGGAGCTGAGCTGGGATCCCTGGGACGGAGCTGGGATCCCCCGGGAGCGGAACAGGGATCCCGGGATGGAGCTGGGATCCCCAGGAATGGAGCTGGGATCCCTGGGAGCTGAGCTGGGATCCCCGGGAGCGGAACGGGGATCCCGGGACGGGGCTGGGATCCCGGGACAGGGCTGGGATCCCGGGACGGGGCTGGGATCGCTGGGATCCCTGGGATGGAGCTGGGATCCCCGGGAGAGGAACAGGGATCCCGGGACGGGGCTGGGATCCCCTGGGAGCTGAGCTGGGATCCCCCGGGAGCAGAACAGGGATCCCGGGACGGGGCTGGGATCCCTGGGATGGAACTGGGATCCCCGGGAGAGGAACAGGGATCCCGGGATGGAGCTGGGATCCCCGGGGGCTGAGCTGGGATCCCCCGGGAGCAGAACAGGGATCCCGGGATGGAGCTGGGATCCCGGGATGGAGCTGGGATCCCCGGGAGCAGAACAGGGATCCCTGGGAGCTGAGCTGGGATCCCCGGGAGCAGAACAGGGATCCCGGGACAGGGCTGGGATCCCCGGGAGCTGAGCTGGGATCCCCGGGATGGAGCTGGGATCCCCCGGGATGGAGCTGGGATCCCCCGGGAGCGGAACAGGGATCGCGGGACGGGGCTGGGATCCCCGGGAGCTGAGCTGGGATCCCCGGGAGCAGAACGGGGATCCCGGGACGGGGCTGGGATCCCCGGGAGCAGAACAGGGATCCCGGGACGGGGCTGTGCGGAACCGCCCGGTTCCTCCCAAGGATTTGTTGCTTTAGGATGAAGAAAAGCCGGGATGGTTCCGCTCGGGAGAGGGGCGGGCCGGGCTTCCCAATGCCCGGAGATCTCCGGGGAGGGATCTGGGCTGTTCTCAGCTTCTTTGGGTGCTTTTCCCTCCTCCTGCAGATCCCGGGAAAAGCCCTTGTGCCAGGCATCCCCCCACCCCTCCTGCCCTCGGCAAGGGCAGCACTCCCGGTGGCCCTGCCCCTGGAATTCCTGCTTTTTGCAGGATCTGCGCTGGCACCGGGCACAGCTGACCCCTCCCTGCCTTTTCTGGGCTCCTGGCACAGCTTTAGTTCCACTCAACCGTCCTCAGGCTCATCCCTCAATTCCTCCCCTCCAAATTTATCCCATGGAGGGACGGATCCCGCACCACCGGCATCACCGAAAACAGGGAATGTTTTTAAGGAACGGCTTTCATTCCCTGCAGAGGAGCTTTGGGGTCGGACGGGAGCAGCAGGAATCCAGCCAGGGCGGTTTTTCCAGTGTAAATCCTTGAGCCGGTCTCCGTGCCCTCCTGGAAACCCGGCCCAGGCAGGAAATATCCCGGTGTTCCAGCAGTGGGAACAGCTCCCGGCTCCCTGCTTGTGCCACGTGTTCCCTCCCCACTGCTGCTCTGAGATCCCGGCTTTGGGAATATTGTCATCCCTGATCCATCCTGGATTTTGGGAATGGGCAGGTTCAGTCACCCCTGATCCATCCTGGATTTTGGGAATGAGCAGGTTCAGTGACCCCTGATCCATCCTGGATTTAGGGAATGAGCAGGTTCAGTGATCCCTGATCCATCCTGGATTTTGGGAATGGGCAGGTTCAGTGATCCCTGATCCATCCTGGATTTAGGGAATGAGCAGGTTCAGTGATTCCTGATCCATCCTGGATTTTGGGAATGAGCAGGTTCAGTCATCCCTGATCCATCCTGGATTTTGGGAATGAGCAGGTTCAGTGATCCCTGATCCATCCTGGATTTAGGGAATGGGCAGGTTCAGTCATCCCTGATCCATCCTGGATTTTGGGAATGAGCAGGTTCAGTGATCCCTGATCCATCCTGGATTTTGGGAATGAGCAGGTTCAGTGATCCCTGATCCATCCTGGATTTTGGGAATGAGCAGGTTCAGTGACCCCTGATCCATCCTGGATTTTGGGAATGAGCAGGTTCAGTGATCCCCGATCCATCCTGGATTTTGGGAATGAGCAGGTTCAGTGATCCCTGATCCATCCTGGATTTTGGGAATGAGCAGTTTCGGCTTCAGGCACGGAGGGTGATGGTTCAGATCCCCCTTGGGGGATCCCGGGATGATCCCGGGGGTGATTCCCGATCCCAGTTTCCAAGGCGGGGCGTTGGGGTGCGGCAGAATCCGCTGGGAATTCCATGGTTAAAACCGGGAAATGCCAATTTTTTGGCGGCCAGGAGCGAGCCCAGGGAGCAAACAAGGAGCAAACGAGTTGGAAAAGCGGCAGGGCGAGCTGGCCCCGGCCCAGCCCCGCTCCCTTCCCGTGCCCGCCGAGCTGCTGGGATAACGCCAGGAACCCCGGGGCCGCTCCGGGCTCGTCCCCGTGACCGTCACGTTCCCGGGAGGGTGACGGGGCAGCGATCCCGGCGGGATGGGCCGGGAGCCGCCAGCTCCTCCCGGCACTGCCCGGGGATGCCAGCCCGGCCCCGGGCATCACCGCTCCTTCCCCTCCCGACCCCTCTCCGTGCTTTTTGTGGATTTGCAGACCGGCTGCTGGGGGCCCGGCGCCCCGGCTACGGGACGCTGCAGCCGGACACGGAGCCGGCCCGCATGGTAGGTCCGGCCGGGAATCTCCCAGAGCGAATCCCGGTGATTCCCGACCCCTCCGGGATTCCTGATCCCCTCCGGGATTCCCGATCCCTCCGTGATTCCCGATCCCCTCCGGGATTCCAGACCCCTCCAGGATTCCCGATCCCTCCCACATTCCCGATCCCTCCGGCATTCCCGACCCCTCCGGGATTCCCGACCCCCTCCGGGATTCCCGATCCCCTCCGGGTGCGGCTTTCCCAGCGCCTTGGGGATCCCTGCCTGGGTCACGCCGGGGTTTGGGGGGTTTGGGGTTTAATGGCTGGAAATCAGCTGGAGTGGATTTCTGGGCTGGGGAGGGGGTGCGGGGGATTCCTGGGGATTCCCTGTGATTCATTCCCGGTCATTCCCAGTGATTCCTGCGGATTCCTGGGGATTCCTGGGGATTCCTGGTGATTCCCGGTCATTCCTGGGGATTCCTGGTGATTCCCAGTCATTCCTGGTGATTCACGATGATTCCCAGTGATTCCTGGGGATTCCCGGTGATTGATTCCTGGTGATTCCTGAGGATTCCTGGTGATTACTGGGGATTCCTGGGGATTCCCAGTGATTCCTGGGGATTGATTCCCGGTGATTCCCAGTGATTCCTGGGGATTCCCAGTGATTGATTCCTGGTCATTCCCGGTGATTGATTCCCAGTGATTCTCAGTGATTCCCAGTGATTCCTGGTGATTCCCAGTGATGGATTCCCGGTGATTCCCGGTGATGGATTCCCGGTGATTCCCAGTGATGGATTCCCGGTGATTCCCGGTGGTTCCCGGTGATTCCCGGTGATTCCCGGTGGTTCCCTGTCCCCAGGAGGTGACGGGTTACCAGCGCCGGCCGTGGCGGGTGCTGCTGTGCCACGCCGGCTCCGTGCTGAGCGCGGGGCTGCTCCTGCTGCTGTTCCACTGGAAGCCCAGCCTGGAGGTGCAGGCCAAGGGCGAGCCCTGCGCGCTGGCCCAGGCGGACTGGCTCATCATCAGGGTGAGTCCCGTGGGCAGCGTTCCCAGCCCCAGCTCCGGGATGGCATTCCGGGGTGGATTCCATGGATTTGGGGTTGGGCTCTGTGGATTTGGGGTTGGGCTCTGTGGATTTGGGGTTGGGCTCTGTGGATTTGGGGTTGGGCTTTGTGGATTTGGGGTTGGATTCTGGTCATCCAGCATTGGGCTCTGCCCCGGGCTCCAAACAGAACCCTGGGAATGTTCCCTCTCCTTGTCCTCCTGCCTGTGTCTGGCATCTCCTTTCCTCAAGCATAATTCCAGAAATTTATTGTCATTATTACTGTTCTAATTCCTAGAATTGTCCCATCCCAGGAACCATTATTATTCCCAAAATAACTCCACATTTCCCCCTTCCATCCCAGCGTGGAATTTCTCTTCATTGTCCCCAAAGCTCAGCCACCATCTGGGATGGGTGGCCAGGGCCTTCCCAGGGCTCTGGAAGGAGCTGGGAACGGGCTGGGCGCTCCTGGTTTTCCCCTGCCAGCCCATCCCTGTGTTTCAGGACCGTTTTGGGCAGTGCTTCACCACCAAGGTGCTGACGGAGCCGCTGGGCGAGGCCAGGTGAGCTGGGCTCTGTCCCTTGGGATCCGGGAGCTGCTCCTGGCTCCGGGGAGGGAACATGGCCTGGAGCTGAGCCTGGCTTTACCCTGGATCTGGGGGATCATGGCCTGGAGCTGAGCCCGGCTTTACCCTGGATCTGAGGGATCATGGCAGGCCAGGTTTGAGCCTGGCTCTGAGGGAACATGGCAGGCCAGGAGCTGAGCCCAGCTTTACCCTGGTTCTGAGGGAACATGGCCTGGAGCTGAGCCCGGCTTTACCCTGGATCTGAGGGAACATGGCAAGCCTGGAGCTGAGCTCGGCTTTGCCCTGGATCTGAGGGAACATGGCAGGCCTGGAGCTGAGACCAGCTTTACCCTGGTTCTGAGGGAACATGGCAGGCCTGGAGCTGAGGCCTGGCTCTGGGGGAACATGGCAGGCCAAGTTTGAGCCTGGCTTTGCCCTGGATCTGAGGGAACATGGCAGGATGGGGCTGAGCCTGGCTTTATCCTGGCTCTGAGAGATCATGGCAGGCCGGGGGTTGAGCCCTGGCTCTGAGGGATCATGGCAGGCCTGGAGCTGAGGCCTCCTCTGAGGGAACATGGGAGGCTGGGGGCTGAGCCCCAGCTCTGAGGGAACATGGCAGGCCCGGAGCTGAGCCCGGCTTTGCCCTGGCTCTGAGGGAACATGGCAGGCCAGGCACTGAGTCCCGTTCCCCCCGGAGCAGCCTGGAGCAGCACCCCAGGGCGCAGCAGGAGCGCAGGAGCAGCGTGGCCGTCGGGGTGCCGGATGAGGAGGAGAGCCGCGACACCGTCCGGCTCCATGACAAGGACGAGGTGGCACCCGGGACCTTCCCAACCTCCAGCCCTTCTGCCTGTCCCCGCACATCCCCCTCACACCGCGTTTTCTGTCCGGCAGAAGAACATCCTGAGGTATTACCTGTTCCAGGGAATGCGCTACGTGTGGCTGGATCCCTCCTGGATCCTGGCATTCCCAGATCCCTCCTGGATCCCTCCTGGATCCCAGCATTCCCAGATCCCTCCTGGATCCCAGCATTCCCAGATCCCTCCTGGATCCCGGCATTCCCAGATCCCTCAGATCCCTCCTGGATCCTCCTGCCCCCTTGATGCCTTGCAGGGCTCCCTGAAAACAGAGGCCAGGCGAAATGAAGGGAATAAAAAGCAAAACTGCTTTTTATTTATTTACTGAAGGGCCTCAGGTGCGTTTTGGGCAGACAGAGGGGCTGCACCCAAAACGTTCCACGGCTCACTTTGGCTTTTCACACTTGTGTGAGTTTGGTCCATTGGCACACTGGGGGTTAATCCTGCAATTCCAGCCGCAGGTAATGAAGTCATTTAGCCCAAGTTTGCTGTCCCCAACTCCCTTTTGTTTCCATTTCTGGGGCTCTGAGGCAGTGAGGTGTCCTCGACTGCCAGGCCTGGAGAGGAATTTTGTCTGCCCAAAGCGGGAGCGCAGCGGCTGACACCGTGTGTCAGTGCTGTACAGAACCTCAGGATTACAAATCCACGAAAAAACAGAAAATCCAAAATCCTGAGGCATCACCCTCAGCTCTCCCAGGCCTTTGGAGCCATCCCCGGTGCCTGGGGGCACTCCCGGGCACAGGGAACCGGCCGGGGCGGTTTGGCAGAGCCGGGCACTCCCGGCTCTCGCACTGTGCCCCTTTTGTTGCCTTCCCTTGGCAGCCGTGGGCTGCGGGGAGGCCAAGGAACAGGGCACTCTCCCTTTCCAAAGCGGGGGTTTGTCCCAAGGACTTGGCCGTGCTGTTTGTTCCGCCGCTCCCGCTGCCTGGGACTCGCTCTCCCTGTTTTCCTCTGCTGCAGCGTCCTGGACGAGGGCTGGACGTGTGCGGAGCTGCACCTGTGCCAGGCCGGGCTGGACCAGCAGGAGCACAGCGCCAGGTGAGGGCTGGCAGCTTCCTGGGAAGCACGGACGGGGCTTTTCCAGGGGGCAGGAAATCCTGGAGCCTCGGCTTTCCATGTGCTCAGACTGGCCGGTGGGATGGAATTCCTGGGACTGGCTTCTCCAGCATAACCCAGCTCAGCTCAGGAGGAGGGGCCCTTGGGCTGGAAATTCAGCTTTTCCCAAGGATGAAACTCCTTCCCTCTTTTCCCAGGGATAAAACTCCTTCCCTTTCCTTTTCCATGGATAAAACTTCTTCCCTCTCTTTTCCCAAGGATCAAATTCCTTTCCCAAGGTTAAAACTCCTTCCCTAAGGATCAAATTCCTTTCCCAAGGTTAAAACTCCTTCCCTCTCCTCCCCCAAGGATAAAATTCCTTTCCCAAGGATAAAATTCCTTTCCCAAGGATAAAATTCCTTTCCCAAGGTTAAAACTCCTTCCCTGTCCTTCCCCAAGGATCCGACTCCCTCCCTGTCCTTCCCCCCCTGCAGGAGGAAGATCTACGGCCCCAACCTCATCGAGGTGCCCGTCAAGTCCTATGCCAGGCTCCTGGTGGAGGAGGTGGGTTCCGGGTGGATTCCCAAGTGGATTTTCCCAGGACGGATCCCTCCCCTGCTCCCTGTCCCCCTCCCGGCCCTTGGGAAGGCAGGAGAGGATTTCGGGGGGAGGTGGAGCCGTGGAAGTTGGGCTGGGACAGGATCCATAGGGAAATCCATGGGGATGGGGGGTTTGGGGGATGCCAGCCCCAGGGAAGGGAGCCTGGAGAGCTCACGATGGGCTGGGGGAAGCTTTTCCTCCTCCAAGGAGCCTGGAGAAATTCCTCCCAGCTGGAAATGCCATACTGGGCTGGAGGAGGTTCTCCCACCCCAAGGAGCCTGGAAATCCCATGATGGGATGGAGGAAGCTCTCCTCATTTCCAGGGAGCCTGGAGCTTTCATATAGGGATGGAGGAAGTTCTCCCCAGTCCCAGGAACCTGGAAATCCCATACTGGGATGGAGGAAGCTCTCTCCAGTTCCAGAAGCATGGAAATCCCATGATGGGTTGAGGGAAGTTCTCCCCAGTTCCAGGAGCCTGGAAATCCCATACTGGGATGGAGGAAGCTCTCCTCATTTCCAGGGAGCCTGGAGCTCTCATATTGGGATGGAGGAAGCTCTCCCCAGTTCCAGGAGCCTGGAAATCCCATACTGGGATGGGAGAAGCTCTCCCCAGTCCCAGGATTCTGGAGCTCTCATTTTGGGATGGATGAAGTTCTCCCCAGTCCCAGGAGCCTGGGATTTTCTCCTGCTGGATTTTCTCCCACCCCAGGGCACCTGGAGCTCTCCTGCCAGGCTGGGGGATGCTCTCCACCCCAAGGAGCTCTGCCAGGAGCTCTCCCCGCTCCCGAACCTCGTTTTGCTCCTTGCTGCAGGTGCTGAATCCCTTCTACCTGTTCCAAGTGCTCAGCATGGTGCTGTGGGTGTGCGATGCCTATTACTACTACGCCGCCTGCATCTTCCTCATCTCCACCTTCTCGCTGGGGCTGTCCCTCTACGAGACCCGCAAGGTGGGTGGGACAGCCCCATCCCAGCTCTCCCGCTCCCCAGCCCTCCAGACCGGTTTTAGGGATGGTTTCCCAGGTTTTGGGGTTTTTTTTTTGGGGATGGGTTCTGATTGTTCCCTCTGTCCCTCCCAGCAAAGCACCACGCTGCGGGACATGGCCAAGATGTCTGTGGGGGTCCGGGTGCGGCGGCCCGGCGGAGGTGAGAGGGGGGATTTGTGGGATGGGGCTTGGGATGGGCGTTGGGATGGGTGTTGGGATGGGAGTTGGGATGGGTGTTGGGATGGGAGTTGGGATGGGAGTTGGGATTTGTGGGATGGGTGTTAGGATGGGTGTTGGGATGGGTGTTGGGATGGGAGTTGGGATGGGCGTTGGGATGGGTGTTGGGTGTTGGGATGGGTGTTGGGATGGGAGTTGGGATTCGTGGGATGGGTGTTGGGATGGGTGTTGGGATGGGTGTTGGGTGTTGGGATGGGTGTTGGGATGGGTGTTGGGATGGGTGTTGGGATGGGTGTTGGGATTTGTGGGATGGGTGTTGGGATGGGTGTTGGGATGGGTGTTGGGTGTTGGGATGGGTGTTGGGATGGGTGTTGGGATGGGGTGTCCTTTGAGATCTGGGTTCCGCACCAAAATAGCATTGGGAGAGGTGGGAATGGAGAATGGGTTGGGATGCACAGGAATAACGTTACTATACATGGGAATAACCTTGGGATACATGGGAATAACATTATTATACATGGGAATAATGATATGATATATGGGAATAATGTTGGGATATATGGGAATAACGTTATAATAATCTTGGGATACATGGGAATAATGATATGATATATGTGAATAATGATATGATATATGGGACTAATGCTATAAGACAGGAATGATGTTGGGATACATGGGAATAATCTTATGAGACACTGGAATAATTTTGGGGTCCAATTAGTAAAAGATGCCCCTGCCCAAACGAGGTGCAAATGAGACCGCCTTCCTGAGCCAATATGGATTGAATTTAACGGGAGATTTCAGGGAAAGAGACATTGATCAGGAGGATAATCCCCACCATGAATCCTTGCCCTGTCCCACCAGCCCTTTTCCTCCTGCTCTTCCCAGCGCTGGGAATCCCTGGGGCTCCTCCGGAGGTTCCGTTTATTCACGCTGCCCAAATCCTGCCTATCCACAGGCGTTTGTGCCGCTCTCACCGCCCGGGATGGCACCTTGCTGCCTTCCTCAGGGGGTTGTTGTTTTCCAGAGGAGCTGGTGGTCAGCTCAGCGGAGCTGGTGCCCGGGGACTGCATCCGGCTGCCCGCGGCCGGAGCGCTGCTGCCCTGCGACGCCGCGCTGCTGACCGGCGAGTGCATGGTCAACGAGAGCCTGCTGACCGGTGAGTGCATGGTCAGTGAGAGCTGCTGACCAGTGAGTGAATGGTCAGTGAGAGCTGCTGACCAGTGAGTGCATGGTCAGTGAGAGCTGCTGACCGGTGACCCCATCCCAACACATCGGTGCCTCAGAGTGGCTGCCTGGCAGAGAGGGGACAAGGCTAAAGGAATAACAGTATTTATTTTAGTATTTATTTTAGTATTCAATATGATATTTATGGGTATTTTTATTTTAGTATTTAATTCGGTATTTATGGGTATTTTTATTTTAGAATTTAATTTGGTATTTATGGGTATTTTTATTTTTATTTTAGTATTTAATTGGGTGTTGATGGGTATTTATTAAAGGCCTCCCACAGATACCCCTGGGGCACTCAGGAGCCTCCCAGGCTCCACCCGAGGTGGATGATGCTCATGGGTTTTTTACACAATTATAAATTTACTCCATTATCAGGGGTCAATCCCCCAATTACAGCTCCAGGTAATGAATTTATTAAAGTTTTAATAACTCATTTTGTTGATCCTTTGCGGGGCCTGGGGCTGTCAGGCGCCCTTGGGTTTGTTTTGTCTCAATAAAAGGGGTGAGCAGCAGCTGACAGGCCGTGGGGTTCGGAGCTGGGGACTAGAGCAGGGTCTGGAGACACAAAACCTGAATCCCAAAGCATCACATTCCCACGGGATTCAGTCAGAGTTGCCTTTCCCCCCGCCCTGGGGTGACACTCCGGAATGTTCCGGCAGGGGAGAGCGTGCCGGTGATGAAGACGCCGCTGCCGGCAGGCGGGCAGGCGGCGGGGGCCGCGTACGGCCCCGAGGAGCACCGGCGGCACACGCTGTTCTGCGGCACGCAGCTCATCCAGGCCAAGGCCTACGTGGGCGGGGAGGTGCTGGCCGTGGTCACCCGCACAGGTGGGGCACAAATCCTGGCACAATCCCGGCACAATCCTGGGACAAATCCTGGCACAAATCCCAGCACAAATCCCGGCACAATCCCAGCACAATCCTGGCACAATCCTGGCACAATCCTGGCACAAATCCCGGGGTCAATCCGTGCCCTCGGAGGCGGTGACGTCCTTGCCTGTCCCGCAGGGTTCTGCACGGCCAAGGGGGACCTCATCAGCTCCATCCTCTACCCCAAGCCCGTGAGCTTCAAGTTCTACAAGGACGCTGTGAAGTTCGTGCTGTTCCTCGCCGTCCTGGGTAGGTCTGGGCTCGGAGGCGCGTCCTGGAGCAGCCAAATTCCTTGGAATGGGATTAGGGCCGAGCTGCTGTTCCATAACCGAGCCCATTCTCCCCCGGCACAGCTCTGATCGGCACCTTGTACAGCATCCTCATCCTGGTTAGGAACCAGGTAGGGCTGTCGGAGCCGGGGAACCCTCGGGGATACAGCGGAGGAGGGCTGCCCACCCCTCTTCCTCCTCCTCTTCCCTCCCCAGGTCCCCGTGGGACAGATCATCATCCGCGCCCTGGACCTGGTCACCGTCATCGTGCCGCCGGCGCTGCCGGCCGCTATGACCGTGGGCACCATCTACGCGCAGAACCGCCTGAAAAAGCAGGGCATCTTCTGCATCAGCCCTCCCCGCATCAACCTGTGCGGGAAACTGCGCCTGGTGTGCTTCGACAAGGTGAGCCGGGCGCGCCGGGCGGGCAGCGCCCCGGGTGGGCACCGGGACCCACGG